CCCGCAGGATAAAACTCTTTCGGTTAAAAGTATGCAAATGCATGTGAACGATGCCAGGTGAGACTGTAGACAACGATTGGAAGCAGTAGTTTGGGAAAAATGGCTTTCTTGGAGCTCCACTGCCTGTCGTTTCAACTTCAGCGTGATTTTAGGTTCACTTTTTTGCCAACCTTGGCGGGTAGCCAATGTCAGTGAAGTTTATGCTGTCAGATTCCAAGTAGACCGTCTGAATGGGTGTTTGAGATGTAGGCACCTCGGATGTGTGCTACGAACTAGCCATACGCCCTCCTCCCGGTCTGATTCTTTATTTTTTTATCAGCAGCAGCAGCTGTAAAAAACTGCGTACATTTATTGCAGTGGTTGTAGCTTACGCATGGTCTCAATCGAATAGGTTAGCATTCTTTTATGACAGTCATCAGTTTTCTCATCCAATGTTGTTGTCAATAATGATTATGATGGTGACGACTTCGTTCACTGAGCCAGGCAACCTGACGAGCAAACCGCGTGACGCTCCACGTTCCCTTGTATCTTGTGAGACCATTGTGTAGCTGAAATTTCCTAGAGTGTTGTATAATATTCATTTAAAGTTGAAGAGGTGTGGATTTCCGCTCAGATGTAACTTCAATACAGTAGAGATATCACTACAGGTTTTCAAACGTATTGCATTGCACACTAAGCTTGTCAGAGGTAAACAGTCACTAAGTGCGGAACTTGTAAAGGTTTAATTCGTGGTTGACATTCTGCTTAGTCCACACCTTAAACACGGACTTTGACGTGCCAAACTCATCGGTTGTGTAAGATTTGTTCAATATATTTCGTCTTGAATTGTTGCAAATGCCATGCAAGTAGGAACTAATGTACCGATTACCACATGCAGGCGGCTAACAGACCTATGGATGGCGTAGACGATCTACTTTGAACTTACTCGTGAGGCACAGCATGAAGCCGAGTCGTTTGACTGTTACAAACCTGACAGGCGTAGTCCTGTAAACCGTTTGGTCCGTGACCGATCCACTCCAAGCACCACCTACGGGTGCTAAAGCGGGCATTAAGTAACTACCTGTAATAAGTCTCGGTAACTCAAAATACTGAATACACATGTTTCTCATTAACGACTGTACGAAGCTTGTCTCAGCTGAAAAAGTGGTGGGTAAGCTCGTGGTTGCATGAGAACGTGTACGATGGAAGTCTAAAACCCGCAAAGGTTAAGCACTTTATATATGTATATATATGTATATTGATCATGAGAGCACAAAAGCATTCTACTAATTAAGTTTCTCCAGCCTTATTATGTACTGTTCTTTACTCTCAACCGTCTAGATCCTCCATCAGACCCTGAAACACTCTGCCAATACATTACTATCGGCTACTTCCTTCTGTAGTCAACTGCACTCGCCGTCGATACTTTTTGACAATTTTTACAAAAATAACCTCAACCACAAAGATTTTATTTCAGCTTTGATTAAGAATATGCCGAAAATTCCCAGGAGAAACGCGTTGAAAGGTGCCGATAACATCCACCGTAAGTGGCTTCCTTGTTAGGTCTATAAATGTGCGCATCCTCAGCGAAAACGCTGTACAACCATTTCAAAATTTTATAGTTAATCCAAGTTCTAAACGAAGAAAATAGTTGTTAGTAAAAAAACAGTTTCTGACCTCCACTTTGTCCCCCCTTAAGTCACATAAATTTTATTGTCTAAACACCTACATACACGGATAAGGTGCACCCATCCAATATACAGCACGATTTCAAATGTTTAATACCATGTTTTATCGATATTCTGTTAACAACAAATTTTCAGAAAATGCTGTTATCAGTCTCGTTGTAAACACAATCACTTCACACGTATCCATTGGAGCCTGACGGTTTTTGGAAAAGTCAGAATTTCACTTGGCCGATCGTACTGGTTGCACTTAGTTCACTAGTGAGCACGAACTTGTGGAGTAACAAGTCTGTGTGCCGAGACTCCTGAAAATTTGGCCTTCAGTCAGCGAGGTCTCATTCCCCATAGGTTTAAAATGAGGCCTTCCCATGTAAAACTATGGAAAGCCAGCTAATTCTTGGACGATCAGGTTTTCGTACAGACTGACTTTTGAATAGCACACAGTTTGCACTTTGAAACTGATAATAATTCAACTACATCAGATATAACTTGCCTTAGCCGCAGCTCCACCGACTGAATACAAGGAAGCCTTAATTAATTTCTTTCTAACGGACCCATAAGAACGTCGCCAAGCTCAAGGGATGCAAACGCAGATTTTCGATACTGAGGGTATTTTGAATTTTCTCTCAAAATGTTAAACGGTCACTAAAGACAGTCTATTTTCAAAAGGCTGTTTATATATTATTGCTAATCAGTATCATGCATCCTACAAAACTCTAAACTGATTCCCATCCACTATCTTCTTTCCAGAAATCTACATCATTGTGCTGCGAGTGGCCGATTAGTAGTGTAAGTAAATCACAGTTAGAGAGGAGGTTGCATCATAGGTTTTTAGAGCACAGCCAAAGACCAATGATTTTAATGACTTTCAGTTCTTCAAACGGCACTTGATGCAAAGGATTATGTAATTACCTTCTCAAACAGACATATATTTACTTGATTGTGGCAGCCTGTTACAAATCTTATGTTTTGTACTCTAAGCCCGGTGCCCACAGCTTGAAATCGACAAACGACCTTTTGAGAAAACACTGCGTCAAAGCATGTGGCACTCTCCCTGCATCTGCTTGCAGCATCCTTTTCTTTGGTAATGTGGTAGAATATTGGTAGCTCAACAACCAATAAAGTTTTTTCTGTGAACAGTTTCAAAGGCTTAAACTTATCTTTATTGGTGTTCAACAGGTGAAACTATCCGAGGTCCTAAAGACTAAAAAAATGTTTTTCTCAGGAGAAGCTCCGGTGTGAAACATTGTTTTGGATGATTTGGATATCTTCTTTGCTGCACAAGCTGTTTTAGGCAAGCAATAGCAAGCAGTGACAATCGACCTTTGGTGGTTGTTCGTCGACAAAGTTCCACGAGGAGGTGCTTGTGGATGTTAAAGGTATTGACACTTTCGTTACTGCGACCAGATTTAACTAACTGACAAACCTGCCATGTCTTCGCCAAAAGGTTTTGGTAAGACATCAATTCTGTTGCAAATGAGCAACGATGTCTGTAGCTATATATGAGACGGCCTCTTTATGGATACAAATCGATGACTGGATTATGCCTGCATTTTGATTAGGTCATAAAGGGTTAGGCCACGCTCTCGAGAAAGCAGATCAGGTGGTCAGAATTAAGAGGAATATGACGTGTTATTGAAAAGCGTTCTTTCGAATGAAGATTATTCCGGTCCAGAAGTGCAAATCTCTTTAGCTTTTACACATTCCGTCTGCTTTAACATAAATCGAAGTGCTACGGACTTTCATGTTCTTCAGGCACAACCACACAATTATTTCTGAAAGGACGAAACGCAACCAAAATTTTCAAGTTTATCGGTGTCATAATTACTGGAATTATCAAAATCTCCTCCACCTTAAACACTTTCATTTTAGTAGGCAAATTAAGAAGGGCATTTCCAAAGTCAAAGGTACAGTCAAAGGATTTGACCGCTCTTATGACCGTATTAAACCTGAAACATCCTATCGCATGATGCGTACCGCAGTCCAGTCAGGTTAGGAAAGGCGTCGAACATTGTGCTTGCGCCGTCTACTGCGTTTCAAAATGACGGCTTAAAAAACTTAGATGAAGCAATTCGGGTGAACGTTTGGATTCCAACTAGATCTTCTAGATGGTCCCATCGATCCCTCATGTGCTCGTTTCGATATATTTTTTACTCACCTCACCAGGAAACGTGGACTATTTTCCAACCACAACCAGTTTTTACAGCAAGTTTTGGTTCACATACCGTCTAATGCATTGAGGTCCACAGACGATCGAAAAGTCTACTACAATTCTATTTAAAGATTATTTATAGATGACACACTGAATTTCCGATATACACCAATTAAGGGCAAAATATGGTCCAAAGTGAAAACATGACACCCAGATTTCAGAAATGCATTTTATTAAGGAGAACAAAACATCCTCCTCGTAAATTTTCTACACAACGAGGGACCTCCATTATGGAAATGACATTAATGCTCCTGAAAAAAGGGCGCAAAGCTGTAATGTTGGAATATCACTATTACCACAACCTTTCGGTTTTTCGTTTTTGTAACCTAAAGTGAAGAGCTCGCTGAATAAAATTGTCACCTTGTTAGTTTATATGTACTGCAATTGTTTTTAAGTGTTTGTTTAGATTACACTCCATTTTCCCAAGATGTAACTGTTTTATTGCGCAATCTCCAGTGACTTGCATGGTTTCTGTATGCATGCGCTGCGAGTGTTGTCGACAAGCCAGTGGTACTTAAAGCGCCATCAAGCGACTGACTAACTATACGGTTGCAAATGATGCATTTACATGATAAATACCTCGAACTTGTATGAAAACAAAACCGACCCGGGAAACTTGGGTAAACGCCTCGATCCTGTGTATCAATCCGACTGTATTTCGACTGTATAGCTATACATGGTCGCTGAATGGCGCTTCAGGTATCACTGATTTGTGTCAACAACACTCTCATCACATGTATGTAGAGACCATGTAAATCGCCGTGGATTATATTTGGAAAAGCGTTACACCTTACGCAAAGTTGGAGGGCGACTGGAACAAACGCTCACAAACGCTGTTGCAGTGCATACAAACCAAATGAAGGTTCTATTTATCATTAAACTCCTACTCCTCATAGGTCACAAAAATGGAGAATCGAAAAGTTGTGGTAATAGTGATATTCTCCCATTCGTGTGTTCCAGTGCGCCAGTGAATACAGGCTACATCAGAGATCAGTCACGGATAATTCTCGAGGCCGCTTGTCCCTTGATGAATGATTTCCTAACAGGCCGTCTATGATAGGTTTTGAGATTTAATGCTAACAAAAGCATAGAAACCGCAAAGGATTAAATAATTTAACACTTACCTATAACTGATTCATTTGTTGCTAAGGCCAGGGATACTGAAACCAGTAACAAAAAGCTAATACAGTTAGTCGCCATTTTTTGAAAAGCCGCGGTATAAGGTGAATTATAAATAGTGCAAAAATACTAGGCTTAGTTTTGCAAAAACCTGACAATTGTCATTAAAAGCTTTCCAATGGGTGATGAAAACAATGTATTCTTTCACCCATCAACTTTCGCCCACAATGTTGTTCATCACAGTACTTTGAGAGTTCTATCCTATTACAACAGTAGCGTCGAACTTGCTCTTGATCTTTTCTTTTCCAAGTGTCCCTGTTGATTGCTCTTGATTTTTCAGTGTTGTCTTAACCGTATGTTGAGTTTTTAGCAGGGACGTTCAGTTTGCGCAGAACCGGTTGGTTCTCGGCCCATGCGATCAGAAAATCCCCTCTCCCTCGTCTGAACCGTGTCCATCAGTTTTGCCTCTGAGTATGTTGCCGAGATTTACACTCCCACGCTCTGGTTGTAGTAACCATGAGAAGTTTCTATGTCCTTAAGCTTGAAGGACATTCGATGGCTGGGAATCTGCCACGAAGTTTCCTTTAAAGGCCCACACCCTTGTTTATATGGCAGCCATGTCCTTACACCTCATTATAAGGAGTCTCCTTCTTGGTGTGACTACATGGAGAGACAATAATCGATTATTTATCGCCATTAGGATTAATACCCTATGCTTAACGTAAAATACAGTCTATTTCTCAAGAAGTTCCGAAAACCATTTATCCACCGCCAGGCTTCTTCGTTCCAACCTGGAGAGCAGTCGTTTCTCAAGTTCACGGAAGCACCAAAGCGGCCCACAATGGGGTATAAACAGCGCCGGAACTCAACCACTCCAGGAAGCTGTGGTCAAAAGCGGTGAACAAAAAACCGCCATAATTCCTATGACTTGCACCGTTTTACACTCCCCCCAATGCTAAAACAGTGATATCTGCGTTCACTGGCTCTAGCTCGTGGCCGGTTTCCAACTGAAGGACGTCCCTTATAGTGAACCCGAACTGCACAGTCGCAAAAGAACTGGCACCTAGTATCACCAAATGATCGGGGCCACCTCCACTCCAAAACATTTAGTCTCTGCCGTTCACACATTCCATGCAAAAGAACCTAGACATCCACCAACAGTCGCAAACCCAAAAATTCAGGTTCCTGAGGTGAGCAGTATGAGTCAAAATACAACTCTTGTGAGTTGAAAACACCAACGAACACCAGTAGTATGGTAAATGCGTACAACCCCCCGCCTTCACAAATTACGTCGAACTTAGTCTGTATTTGGACATCCCCGACCCACTTATCTCCCTGCCTTACGTCTGGCATGTGGGTGCGACCCCCTGAAGTATTGAACAACACTCCTTCCCGCCTTAGCCGCCTCACATTCTACACAGAATTTCTCCAACGAAAGATTATATTCGCAATCCTAATTTTTGCTCCGTCTTTGTCTTCAGAACCCTACCACGGCTAGTTTTTTCACACACACCGCCCCGAGACTTGCGCCTAGTATGTACTACCATGCCCTCTACCTCCAATTCTATCACACTCACCTGCTGAAACCTACACCGCACTCACGTCCTCTTCCAGATCTACTTCCATATTTTGCAGCTCACCAACTTTCATTGTTCACTGAAGCAATCAGACCTCTGGTGGTCCGGTGGAATACCTTCCTAGCATTGGTGGGATCCCAGAATTCCTAGGCGATACTCAAAATTTGGTTCCTTATTGTGAACTCGATTTCCTGTCTATTTAAGTCCACCGGGAACATGTTGGCTTTCGGAAATTCCATTCCGTCGCGCGAATACTGAGCGGACAATACCTCGGGTAAAACGGCGCTGTACTGCGCCCACTTGAGCCATGCCAGTATGCAGTTTAAACCTTATAAGCTAAATGACTTGATATCCCTGTGAGTTGCGCTTTTGTCTCAGCTTACCTAACGCACATTATACGCAGAATTTACCACGCTAAAGTTCATCGAGCAACGTCCTGACTCCCCCTGGTGCTTAGACTGGGGCGTGTGCCCCCTCCCTCTTGCGCCCACCAACGAGGACAATGAAGACTCCTCCAACCTACTATCACACATTCCATCTGTTGGCCACTATAACCAACTGGCCTCCATGAATATCGGCGAGTCACCCGCTGACTGGGCGACACTTAAGATCCCTAGTCTTGTGACTACAGCGTTCTACAGACGGTCCATTTCAACCGATTGCCTGAGCAATTGAGATTCCGCGACGGATATCCATCGCCTTTTGGACGTCGTATTTATCTGTGTACATTCCAGGACAACCGATTTCAAGGAGCGTACCTCTTCGGAAGCGTGCACCGGCCGCCGTTTATTAAGGGTTACGGAATGAAAGTTCGCTTCCCCTCTCATCATTTTATGCACTGAACCTCACTATAATGTACCTCACACACTTAATATATTGTGTTCTACTTTACTCCCCAGTACTATACTCTATTTAGCCATACATGCTGTACTATACTATACAATACTATATCATACTATACTATACTATACTTCACTCATTGTATTTACCTTAATTTACCACTGTACTCTACTCTACCATGCTAATCTATACTATACTATGCTATAATATAATATAATATAATATAATATGATATAATATAATATAATATAATGTAATACATAATGCAACTAAATAACGACATTTCACTTTTAATGGAGTTATAGGAATTCACAAGTAGTTAACATCATTCTACTGCCGAAACAAGCGAATACCAAAAACTCCATAGTACAATTAATGTATAATTTCACGATAATGGCGGGAAGCAAATGTTATCTCAAACGATATGCCATTGGAAGACGACATTGATGGTAATATTCTGCATACCGTTTAATATAATAATACTGTTTCTTACGAAATAACTGCAACTTCAGTAATACTGAACAACATCCTGAGGTCCAGTGCTTCAAAGCGAAAAGTGTGTTACGCATTTCCCATCCGTCAGCACTCCCATCTTTAGAAATTAGACGCATCAGTGGTTGGACAATTTATTTGCACAACACTTAATAAATAATTATCGGTGCGGGAGGTTTGGATGAAAATTTTTGCTTAACAAACTGCTTTACGTTGGTTTCTTTTGAAATGTCGTATGGTAATTTATTTCTCGATTATCTACCCTGTCCACTTAAGGTTGCTTTTTAATAGGCACCATTAAATGCCGATACGTATTTGGCTCCAAGTGCTATTGGTCCTCACTGCTTGACAATGAGACTAATCCGTCTTGGTTAGAGTTACTTCGTTCGGTAGTTTCCATTTACCTTTCATCAGATGATAGACAAGTTAAGGTCAAAGTTTCAACCGAAAGAGTGGTTATTGCGTTCACTCTGACAGAGTGAGATCACCGAAAATTCACTATTTCACTACATCTTCTGGCCGTTTTCCATTCAGAATTTGTTTCAGTACACGAAGATATTAGTTGAACGTAATGAACATCCCAATATTAGTCTCAGTGGATCAAGTGGAAATTTGTCAAAAGGTTCCCTTGTCTGCATTGTTACATCTTTGCATTGGGTTTTATGGAAATCACTCAGATCGCCTCCAAGTTCCATGAATTGTGAGTTGACGTCATGCTTCTTAATTTCTCTCTTACGAGTTTGATTTGCAGGCATTCCAGTGTGGTCCCTCTTGCCAGAAAGCGTTTAAATACTTCCAGAGTGATATTACTGAAGGCCGATAAATTTACTTTGTGGTTGGGGGATCTCCACTGGCCAGATTGAATAGACGTTGAACACGCCACTCACTGCCACTGATTCAAACATTTATAATCGGTATATTGATGTTGTTCCTAATATTAGTTAAAACGCTAGTAGTCAGTGGCAAAATCATCGGTTGTGCACACAGCATGATGGCCAACGTCTAGAAGACAAGCCTTACATCAACATTAAGACGACTAATGTCCAAAAGAATGTCGAATTCCGTGAAAAACACAATAAGCCCTGATCTACGGAAATCAGTGTCATTATCGACTGAAGCCTACAATGTAAATTCAATCAATATAGCCAAATTTACCAGCTCACGGCTTGGGATATTTGTGATGCCCTACGGGTTGAAAAGATTGCTCAGTATATCAGAAGAAGTGCACGGACCTTCCGAAGCCCCACACATGTTCGTAACACCGAAGCTATGCGGTTTATTTTTCACAGCGGTATATTTTCCTCAGTTGCAGTTGTACTTGGTTTGGATCCATTCAACAGCTGTGGTATCACGGCGTTAATTTCTCATCATACTGGTTTACAAACCATACTACGGCGAATAATTTGTATTTTTCTGTTGCTTGTGGATGTAACAGGCCTTGTTCATCCAGGCCAACAGAATAAATCACAACTTTGAGGCGCCGATACTTGGCAATGTGTTCTGCTGGTACTGCTAATGTCACTCCGGCCAATACGCTAAAGTTTACCTTTCAACTACTGGCTACTGGTATTCAAACCCAATGAACCTCACAAAAACGGCAGTTTCCGGCG